CACAGTCTCCACTGTTCAATCGCAGGTTTTCTGCTTCAGCCCATCTGCCTCATCCTTCAGACTGGACGCAGAGTTGGAGGTTTGCTGCTCTCTACTGTTCATGTGTGAACTGCCTTAAATCCACATTCAGTTATTATTAAATCAACACTGAAAGTGCACAAAATGGTGGAGGAGACTACACATAAGATATTAACATTTGTTTGAGACACTTGCATGTTTGAAATCCTCAATCAAATTGACAAGTATAATCCAAGTAAATAGAAAATGCAGCTTTGAAATGATGATTTCATTTGCTAAGGGGAAAAAAAATTATCCTACCTTCCTGGGGCCACGTGAAGAAGTAATCCTCCCCCAAACCTGCTATATGGTTATGTTACTACTGGCAGGGGCAATCAGCCATTTGTAATAACTGTAAATGAGTCTTTCACATCACTGTGGAGGAATTTTACCCACTCTGCTTTGCAGAATATGCAGCAAACTGAGAAACCAGGAGGAGGCTAAATACTTTTTAGAGCACTGAATTGGTTTACCACCCTTTAATGTAAGCAAGATAGACTTTATATATGCTAGAAAATGAGATTTATATGGATAATAACGATTTTTAAAAATAGTTGAGTGTTGAACTGCACACACAGACAGCAGGGGGCATCTGTTTCTGCTGTGATGAACACCATACAAGCAAAAAGAGATCATGCTAAAGGATGTTGACTGACTCTTACTCTGTGTGTTGCAACTCTGTTAAATGTGGACTCACAGACAGATTCACTCATTTCAGAGCAGAGGATATCACTGCCTTGCATGAACTTCATAACAAACATTTATAAAGCTGCTCGGAAATCAGGGAAAGACTTCAGTTCCCACAGTTTTATTCTCCTCTGGTTTAGTTTTAGTCTGAATTTGTCTTCAGTCTGACTTTGATGATAATCAGACTTCTCTGGTGAAATGACCCCCATGGCTCTGAGTTGTGTATTAGATTAGATTAGATGAAACTTTATTAATCCCTCGGGTGGGTTCCTCCGGGAAATTCAGTTTCCAGTAGCAAAGCACCAAAAGAAGTTGCATGTTACAGATACATTAAGGGGAATGAGAGTAAGGATATAAGCATAAATACACCATATATACACATATATAGAAACAGAATATACAATATGGATAAATATTTACACAACTAACAGAAGAAGACGGCCGTAGTGATAGACAGAGCGGTTCCGAACGACAGCAACATCAGGAAGAAGGAACAGAAGAAGCTGGAGAAATAAAAAGGCCTCAGTAAAGAGCTGGAGAAGATGTGGAGGGTGAAGGTAACAGGAACAGCTAAGCGACTGCGCAGGACCCTCAAGCTCCCAGGCCTCTGGTAGATATTATCATATAATTATAAATTATTGTTGTAAAATAAGTGGATTTTATAAATATCCTGAACAGAAATGTTAAGTTATTTAATTGCAAAGATGGTGACTAAAGTTTTAATTTCAGGTGGAAAAAATTGATTTTATAATTAAGGCATAAAAACTGTACTGGACCAAAATCAGAAATGTGCAGAGTGCAGCAAACAGGGGCGGTCCTAGCATGTTTGGTGCCCTAGGCTCTGCAGTCGTTCACTTTCCTGTTTCTCCGTATGAATAAAAGATACATAAGCTGAGAGTGTTTCTCAAAACTGGGTTTTTCTTTTTAATCTCTTTGTCTTGTTTTCAGAAAACATCAAATTTTAATGAATTTAAAATAATAATATTCTGCATGTACACCCATCAAATACATAATATTTTAGGTTGTTCATTTGATGTAAAACTGCTTCCAGGTTTGTTACACCAACTGTTTCACTTCATAGATGCTTTTCTGATCTAGTTTTTTTTTTTTCTGAAAATCTAAAATTTTACAATCCTACTATTTATCCTAAAATGATTTATCCTAAGGTCCCAAAGAAGGATTTACTTACTTGGACTAACATGAACAAAGAAAAAAGTCAAAAAATGCTTGCAGCGTCTAGTGCTTTAAACTAGGACGTTTTGTTTATTTATTATATGTATTAATTATATATAAAGTATTGAATTATTGCAGTCAACACTGAGAGGACATTTATTCTCTTGGCATCTGTAGCTCTAGTACCTCCAGTAGCCAGAGCTGGAGATTTTTATGAATGGGAGTCACTGGTAGGATCAAGAACAAGGGTGAGGGTGGTGTTGGCATTTGGAAAAAAAAGTGAAAGAAAACATATGGCATTAATTCTATTTTAATTAAATGCTTATTTTGTATTATTTTATTATAATTTAACATGTACTTTACAACAGAAAAAACACATGACATGCTGCGCAAAGTATTCCCTTCAGTGGGTAGTGGGTACATTTGTTGTTAGTATAACTCCAAAAATGGTGCTCCTGTGTGGTAACTCGCAAAAACAAAGAGAATTTTGTTTTTTCAAAGCAGTTTTATTTATTTAACTTCACTTCTGGACATAATTGGCAAGCTAGTGAAACAATAATCGGTATCTATCTGTATATTGTGAAAATGATGTTAAAAAAACAAAAACAAATAATCAACTCTGAACAACCTTTCCAAATAATTCATACATCACATAGTCACATGACATTTTCCCTTTCCACCTTTCAGACACAAATTAGCAAGCACAATGCAAGAAGAAAGGAAAAACTACTTCACACTCAAGTCAAGTCTCAACAAATCATGTCTGAGATACTTCAGTTTATTTAGAAAAACATAATTTTGTTTAGTAATCACCAGTCCACTCCAGCTAAGTTCAGTGAATAGGAAAAAAACAAACAAACTTTGGTTTCCAAACAGACTGCAATGTGGAAACAAAAGAAGAAAGTGTGTGAGGCATTCTCAGACACAGAATTACAAAATTTTGCAAAATCAAGAAACAAATTCAGGGCTGGCAGTCAACCATAATAACCAGCTGGATGGAC